GCACTGGCGGCAGCCCGTAAATATTACATTATATTATACTATATTGTGTAATATTATACTATATTATACTTGCCTCCCTGCTCTGATCTTTGGAATAGGCCTTGATTCAGCGATGTTGCAGGCTCTGGGCTGAAGGTGCCTTGCCCTTTACACGTTTGGCACCGCATCACGCTGCCGCGGCCCCAAAAGATACGGAAGGCCCGTTGCGGCATTGACAGCAGGCCACCTAGACTACAGGCTACTACATGCTATGAACCATGCAAGGAGCTGGGCCGAGCCAGAGTCGTTTCTTCGCAAGGCTCGGACTCTATCGCCCATCCTTTCGAATCTTTTGACTTTGCCTGACAGAAGTCATCCTCTGAAGGTTATACCTAACACGTGAACCGTATGATGAAACATCGTAGATGTCGTATTTGTACCATATGTGTGTACGTATGCATGCATGTATATGTGTAGGTATGCATGTAGGTTTGTTCGCTTGCATGTATGAAACGTATGAAATGTCTGTGCTGCATGTGTGGAATCGACTCTCGCTCGTCTCAGCGAAGACAATCGTCACAAATTCACGCATCGGGAGGGCGTCGGCGTAGCGTCTGGAACTACGGCTGTGACAGCTTCTCCGGAGCCGCCTTGCGCCTCACACCTCGCCGGGAAAGAGGTTCTGAGCTTTGCAGATGCTGGAAGAACATTGAGAGTTTAGGGTTTAGGGTTTTTCTGAGCTTTGCAGATGCTGTTAGAACATTTCGAACGACACCCAGAACGTCTGTTATGCTACCAAACTTATGGTAAACACGAATACCCCCATGGGCATGACACGCGAAGGAACCGAATCTCAATTCGAAGCCAAGACCCATCGAAACTATCAAACAAGACTACTACATGTTTACAATAAGGCTACAATCAGGTCCTTACGCTGTTGACGACATTGTGGTTACTGGAATACTGTAAGGTCACAAACAAGTTACTGTGAACCATACCCGGGTGCGATCACAGATCCTTCAACCACCGTAGCTTCGGAAAAGCCCTGGTACGAACCCTTTGTAGGATGGCTCGTCTGACAAAAGGCCACAGCCGGCCGTGCCCCGTATCTGTCCCGCTTTGTTACGCTGAGGAATGAAGCCTTACACTTCCCTAAACCCCAAACCCTAAACCCTAAACCCCAAACGCTAAACCGACTCCGGCCTTGAGTGCCCAGGGCTGCGAGCGAAGCGAACAGAAATGGAGGCACGTCGAGCTCGGCATGCACCTCCGATCATTTCGACCGTGTGCACCTTGGGATGCAGACAATACTAATATCACTATGAATTATGAAACTTGGCAGTGGCAAGATTTTGGGTATTAGTCTTGGTGTTAGCTTTAGTCTTAGTCTCAGAATTGGTATTACTTTCGTACTGTTGGTAGTTTTAGAAGTTTTTTTGTTGCTGTATCGGCTTCAAGCTGTGACAACTGCACTTTCAGTGCGGAAAGCCCCATGGACAGGTTGCCGAAGGCGACACCTACACTTCTGGCCCTTCGAAGTCGCTCAGGCCCACACCACCCGATGTTGAAAGTCCGCCGCATGGAACGACTCCAGTGGATCTTGACAGGGAAATGTAAGCCCCTACGCCCTAAAACCCTACGTCACTTCTACCTCCGCGTGTAGCATTTCCTGGCTCTGTCACATGGGAGGTTTCATGAGGACAGGGGGACTAGATACACCCTAAATAGTAGGATCCGCATTTTCGGCACCCGTAGATGAGACACCCCACCAATTCCAAGATACCCCAATTCAAATGCCAACGGCATCCGATTTCCGAGGCCTGACGACACGTCTGCCAGATCAGCCGAGGCCTGCCCGATTGCATCATCGACTCAGACCCAAAAGTCCAAACTTCCAGGGTCCTAACTCACGTAAGAGCCCGTAAAGCCAAAAACCTTGCAGAAAGAGCCTTGTCCAAGAGAACGATCTGCGACTTCGCAGAGTAGGCGTCCACAGATGTTGCCTCGCAGGACCGGTTTTCCCCCGGTACAAACGGCTCATAACGAGAAGGTCTTGATGGTGCGACATGTTGTCATCATTACACATTATGTATATGCACAGAAGTACATGAATCAGTGTATGTAATCCGAGGATGGGAATTTAAAAAGGTCACAGATTTCAAGAAAATTATTTCAGCCGGGTTTGGGTCTGGAAGACTACTTTCAATTGCGGTTGGATTTCGTCCGCATGGGGAAAAGGGACCACATTTAAAGAAAACTATTTCGGGGAGCTTCAAAAATTTGCTTGCTGCTTTAATGCAGAAGCAACGCTGCTTTCCGAAGCAGGCCTTGCCTTTCGGCAGAGGCAGAGGCAGAGGCTGGCTTCCGAAGCCAAGCTTTTTCCAAAAGCTGAGGCCAATCAGAAAGCTAGGCTTTCTTATTGAAGGCCTTGCAAAACTTATGAAAGGAAGCAGTTGTTCATTCCTTCCTAAGTTACCCCTTACGGGGCCTGCCGGGCCAGAGTCCGAAGCAGATTTATGCGGGCCGTGCGCGGCTGGAGATTCAATACATTGCTATCACGTCTAATAGACCAGACCCCAAGGAGCCGGGATGTGCCAACAGAGATTTCATTAATGCGGTTCCCGCGATCCTTATTCTCTCTGGAGGGGGCAGTCTTGATTCCTGTCTATGGCTTTGATGGTCACCGCCACCGCCGCCAACATCCATTGAAGTAGTTGTTTGCACTACTATATTCGCATATTGCAGTAGTGTGTAAGCTGCCTGTTCTGGATGTTGTTGCTATTGTGACTGCTACGGTATCATGAGTACTGCTAGCTACCACCGATGACAGCAATTCATGCTCTCTGAACCTTGCTCTCGCCTCGCTATACTAATCCCAACCCCCTTGACAAGCCGCTCAGAAAGCAAATTTCTGGGCATCCCCGTCTGGGAAACCCAAAGCCAAAAAGGTAGGAATCAGCCGTACTTTGCTGCTATATCATAATATGACTTGGCGACCCTCCCGAGTACCACCACAGCCAGAAGCCAGAGAGCCCAGTAGCAAATTGGGCTCGCGAGAGACTGGGAAGTCTGAAACGCTAGCTAGACCCGAAACCCCAAACCACCAAACTAAAACCCTAAACTTTATACCCGAAACACCGAAGCCCCAATACCTTTGACCCGTGTTCCTCGTTGGTTTCCGTCAGACCCATGTCTCCACGCTCTGCGGCTTTGGTCAAATACCTGTGGCACATGGCGGGTTTCAGACGATTCTGGGATTTCATGCTAAGGCGATTACAGCTATGGTCCTACTATTTCGGTTCCTTATTTCGCTGAAACTACCTTAGACGCTGGCAGTGAAGCTTATTGTAGGGGTCCTGGAAGGCCACTATAGGGTTACGATAGAGGTTACCATAAGGCTACTATCACTGTCACAAACCCCACAAGTCCTAAAATCCCATAAGTGCATCCGGCTGCAGCTTCCGCAAGCGCGCGTTCTTGATTGGAAACTTGTAAGCGTGGTAGGCGATCAGCAGCTCGCCTATCAATTGAATCTAAGGGTTGCATGGAAGTTGCTGCAATAATACGCATAAGGGTTACTATTGGGGTACTATAAGGTTCCTATGCCGTTACTGTAAGGGTCGCTCTCAGGATACTGTAAGTTTAAGGCTAATGCAAACCTACTGTAAGGCCACTGTAAGGGCACTAGAACCTCTCTAGGTTTTCGGACTCAGTCACAGTCGCGAGGACAGGAGAATCTGTCCAGCTGTTGTCGCCAAACAGCAGCCGTCTAATACACTCGCGCGCACGACTTCCACCAACAGCCCGAACTAAAATGCACACCTGCCACGAGAAAAGCGAACCTAGTTCGCACACCACATGAGCGTGGTAAGAGATTCTAAGGTGCACGTGCCCGCTAGCACAGTCTCTAAGTGATTTGTTGACATGCTAGCAGCAATTAAGTCAAGCCAACTCTGCTGAGCCACACAGCGGAGCAAAGAAGCCGATGACGAAGCGGACGTAAGCCCGCAAGGACCTGAGAGGGCAATTAACTGGAGCTTCCAAAGCAGGGTTGCTGGTCTCCCAGCTTGCTGTGAAGGATTCGAGCAGGAGGGGATTTTGGTGTGGTGCCACAGGCTTACTACGGACCGATGCGTCTAGGTGTACGTTCACCGTTTCTGTCCGGCTTGTTCCGTTTCCTCCTGTCTTTTCCTATCCCTGTGTTGAGTACGTCCGTGTGTTTCAAAAACATCCTTCCAACTTCCTTCGATGTCGCTGTATGCTTCGGCATCACGCTAAATTTCCGGGTGTTCTGGGTGCCGCGCTCTGGCTGCCGATCGATGACATGGCGAAAGCAGTCATCAATGCCTCAGTGCCGAGAAACCGTTGGATTCGTGCGTTGCCCAGGTGCAGCCAAGGCAAAGGGCCATCAGGTTTACTGCGCACACTCGTTTTCAAGGCGTTGTGTTTATCTTTTCTCGGCTTTGCTTACCAGGCAAAGAGTCTTCGAACCATATATCTCAATGATAGGTATGCAAACAAAAGCACCCTACAGCTCCGCAAGGACAGTGAATGACAAGGAGCAGGTCGAGACGCCATCACTGCCTGGAATGCATCAGACGATTAAGCAACGGGATTCAGACACTCTCTGAGACTATGACTCCATGCTCGCATAATGATGACACTGCCACAACCCGTCGCAAGATTCAAGATGTGCCGTAGCGCCAGCAAGGTGACCCTCACAACCCTTCCTAGCTCCTGTTGCTTGTGAGCCGAAGGTTAGTCAGCAGTCACACTCCGATGGGTCGGATCAACATTCCTGTGATGGCTTACTAGCTGCTCTATCTTAGCAGGATGGTAGGGAGAACTTGCGGGAGGAGTGCGGTGATGGTTTGCATCTGCATATCTACAGGACACTGCCAATCTAACCCACATCTCGGGGAGGCATAGGGAAGACTAACATCCTCCAGCATACTTCTCGCCAGCGTTGTTTCGTACCCTGTTGACTGGGAACCGAAAGACAGAAGAGTTGTAATGCTGTCCACAATGACCGTGACAGCTGGACTACACTGAGAACCCTGTTCTGAGGCATCTGGAAACCGAACATGGCCTGGCCGCTGGTTAGCTGTGATTTGTAAACAATGGCAACACGGCCAAGTGCGCCCCCCACGTGCCTCCCACTGAACAGCTGGCTTCGCAATTTTCTGTTTCCAGACCTGGCTCCAAGAATTAACCCTAAACCCCTAAATCCTTAAACCCTAAACCCTAAACAACTTTCTCAGAGGCTCAAAGAGGCCCTGCCTGCCAAGCCAAGCCCGAGGAAGGTCAAGGAAGAGAAGATCGCGGCTGCGAGAATCTGGCAAAACTCCGCTGAGGTAGAGTTTAGGATGTAGGGATTAGGGTTTAACATCGCAAGCATCCCGTGTCCCTTTGGCAGATTGGGCATCAACGGCTGGTTTGCTTGTCGTGCTTGTCAAGAGCTTGCACGAGGCTAAGTTCATGCCGAACAGCCCGCCCCGCCTGGCTCATGGAGAGTGCTCCGAAAATCTGGCCTGCAGCGCCATGCCACTGTCAGACTCATGAGCAATGTGACCGGCTTGCCTTCCCGCTTGTTTTGGCGAGACTTGCCATCCGCGCAGCGGGACATGCAATCCTTGGCGTTCGATCCGCACCGGTGTGGTGCTGATCCTAATAGTCACTATGGCGCCTCGTCGACGAGCCAGCACTGTGCGGAGATGCGCCAGAAGGAGAAGCTGCAAAGACCCATCCTCTCACAATCCCAAAAGGGACACAGATGGAAAAGTGTGTGCCTCAGACTGTGCCGTTGAGGCGCCTCGTGATGATCGACCTCGGGTGGGCACCACAGCTCTTCTGCTGAGATGAACAAATGAAGAACGACGACTGGGTGACCGACCACACAAAGAGTAAGAACACCTGAGGTTTGGCACACGCTTTCGGACCGATGTGTCTCATGCCCATCGACGCCTAGCGCATTTGCTGCCAAGAGTCAGAAGGCTCAAGAACTCCGATCAAGATGAAGGTGAGGCAGGCATTCACAAGCCGAAAGGAAACGACCTGGGACAACCCGCCGGCAAAGCACACTGCACTTTCGGGTCACTCTGTGGAATTGCTGCTTTCCACACCCAGGCATGCACAATCCGGAGAAGTCGGCGATCACTCTTCCCAGCCATGTCCCTGAATGAAACAGTGGATGCTGTGCACTGCAGCATTTCTGTAAGTGCATCTCGCATCCGCTAAATGCATCTTGCCTCAATGAGTCATCTCGCGTGAAAAGGTGCACATACACCAGATTCATCACCTGGGACATCGGTGCCAAGGTGGTCAAGACCACACGTGCTACGGGTCGTTCTTCATGTCTTGAATTTGCTGTCCAGCGGCTGCTTCTGTAACTCCTGCAGCTGTGCCAGCCCCAACGATGACTTGAACGCGCTGCCAGCTGCTGAGGTGGAGGACATATGTGACATAGTAAAGGAGCCTGGAGGGAGCTTGCTCTTCCGATCACAGATGTGACTCCTGACATTAATCCTACAGTCCAGTGACATGGAAGAAATGCAGACGCCATAGGCTCCGTTCCAGAACCTCAGGCGCAGCCATCTCACGACTGTCGAACAGCTCCGAAATTGCAGCTTGGTTGCTTCATGGCCAACCTGGGACTTTCTTCATCCATAGGGCTTAGATGATGCATGATATCTATGCTATATTGGTGCAGCTGTTGCGAGAACAGTCAGTGTAGCCGTGACCGGACCGCTGATGCAACCCTCGACCGTTGAAAATCAGCATACATCACAGCCAGGACTTCGGGTTTCTTCGCATCCTTGCGAAGGTCGCCCCAGATGGCCCTCAACGGCCTATCCTGCAAATCTCTCATCTGCACGGCGGGGCACAGATGTTGAAGTGCACCTCCAGCTCACGCACTTCGAATCACATTGCACATCCCGTCTCCTCACATTCATACATACTCGGGTACTTCTCTACATTAGGGTCCCTTTTAGGAGCTCTGAAGCTGAGCGGCTGTTTGCTGGAGGCTCCGTCGGCAACTCCTTCGGCAAGGAGCGGCAGCAGCGAAGCCAACGCCGCACGCTTCGAGGTAGCGCCTGGAAGCTGCTCGAGTTAAGGACCAAACTTCACAAAGCCTAAATCCCAGAACCCTAAACCCACCCTAAACCCTAAATCCATCCTAAACCCTAAACCCACCCTAAACCCCAAACCCACCCTAAACCCCAAACCCTAAACCCACCCTAAACCCTAAGCCCCTAAACAGAAGACCTCCCAGACGATGGTGGCGGACCCAGCTGGCTCAGCCTCCACCTGCGCAAGGAATTACGACTCCAAGTAGGCGAAGACCAGGTCACCGAGAACTCAATCGTCGGGGTTTAGGGTTTAGGGTTCAGGGTTTAGGGCTTAGGGCTGAGACGAAGACTGGCCCTCCCTAATAGCCAGGAGACATTGGCAAACTGGTAGTATTTCGTTGCAGCTACTATGCCACGACTGAGCTTCGGAGCCACCAGATGCGCACCTTGTGCTCGTCATTTCGGGGGCGGGCCTCCTTGAACAGCGGTACCGCCTGAATCAGACATGAAAAGCATATCAACCTGAGCATCAAGCAACATCTTCTCACTCGACCACAGTCTACATGTGGCCTGCAAACTCAGCAGTCCCACAGGAACGATGTAAAGCACCTGGGCAACAACAGCAGGAGTCAATGAGAGGAGCCGTGGCACGGCCTAGGCCCATTGAAGCCCTGGGTTATTATGCAAATTCCATCGCAGTATGTATGTTCATCAGGAAACTTCATGACTTCCTGAACATTGAGCAGGAACAGTTTGCTGTCTTGAGCGCAAAACCAATTCAAAAGCAATAACAAAAGCTTGTGCCTCCTCTGTCTTAGTGCTGCTTGGATACAAATGCCAGCCGAACCGTGAAGGATGCATCACCACTCAGCCTGGGAAGAGGGTGGGAGAGAGGGTCTAGCTTGAGTGTTCACACTCACACTACACTGACATCTACAGGCAACAGCATGTTCACAATCGCTGCTGCGTCACACAAGGAAGACCAGTCCTCCAGCACCACCCCCGGCCATACAAGCATACTTGCACAGGCCTACGGGCATCAAGGAAACACCGCAACGACGACACGCCGCACTTCTACATCTTCTAAGAGTCACAGTGTCAGTAAGGGTGCCTTCGACACTGATGCGCTCCTCCTTGAATGGATAAATTTGCTGCCTGTCAGAAGGCAGGATGTCAGGTGTGGCATGTTCTCATGGTCTCTCTGATTTCGCGCCTGGCTGCCTCGAAGGCGATAATGCAGCCCCCAATGCCCCAGCAAGTGATCATCCACATGGCCAAGAACCACACCTAAGCAGGCCCCTGCAAACAAGCAGACCGACTCAGCCAACTTTGCCGGCAAGTCTCGTAGGCCGCAGCTCCTTCCTGGAAAGGCAGCGCACAGGTGCACAAGCAAGAGCCAGCACGTCTCTCCAAGTGCTGCTTTAACGGCAAGTCGCAGGTGGCAGATACATCAAGCTTGCACCCAGAGCTGCGAGGAAGGAGTGCGTTAGAAGCCATGGCCTCAGCCACAAAGCCACGGGAGCCATGTCCATGAAGCTTGGAAGCTGCGAAAGCCGAGAGCCCCGCGCCCGCCGGCCCCATCTCTGAACAGGAAAAAACCTCAGCGTCTGCGACGGGACAGGCCCTCTTGCAGCGAGCGCAGCTAGTGGCTGGCCTGTGCAGAACCTGTCAAGGCGACCGGCTTTTGGCAATCACAGCATACTGTGTGCACAAACCTTGACTCGGAAGGCCTCTTTGTCCTGAAGTCGTCCCAAGAGCATGTCCTCCAGAGACAATCACGGCCAAGTACAGCAATCTTCCTAAAAATCCTGACAGAAACGCTCCGCACGTTTACGCAATTAAACTCCACCACCACAAACTAAGAACGGTCAATGAACATTGGCTCCAATGCAACAGTCCAGATGCACTGGCCGGTTCCTACTTGTTCTTGCAACACGATGATTTAGGCCCTGCGCTGCAACATCTTGTTCTTCGAATGGAAGTGGACATAACATGATGTGCCGATATGAGGTTATACCGTTATACTGTTACACATGAACAATATGCACTTGTTCGATAGCTGTGTACAGAGTCAGACATTCACACACAAACACAAAAACACGACGTAGATGCACAGCAACACAGACAGATAGATGGAGAGGTCGAGAACACGCAAAAGGAGCAAGAGTTGAATGCACGGTTTGCCTCTGCGTTTTTGCATCACGTGAGTTCATGTTCTTCAGCAGATATGCATGCAGCCAGGAAGGTAGGCGACAGCCGTGGTGGGTGGATATTCCAACTGTATCCACGGCAGAGTGAGTAGACGACGGTTCGTTTCGCTTTGGAGTGGGGTTGTTCCGGAGCTGCGAACCCTGCCCACGTCGCGCTGACTGGCCCTTGAAGGACAGAAGTGTCCTGCACAGGGGTCCAGAAGGAAGCCACCGTCACCTGTGCATGCAGCTACGGAAGAGCTGTGGGGCAGCCTTTCTCTCTCACAGGTCATCATTAAGCACCGAGGCCGGATCCAGCATGCTAAACATGGTCGGGTCGAGGCCAAACTTCTCCAAATAGATATCTTTCGCAGTGCCAACCACTGACATCCTGGGACTCAACGACAAAACAAAGTAACCCCATGGGTTCCTCTTTTGCTCTCCGAGGCTCATTCCGAAAGGGCTGAACAAAGCAAGTGCAAAGCGCGTTCTGCGAAACCAGGAGTGGCCTGATGGGCCCCTGAGCATGAAAAAGCGGAGTACTGGACCCGTTGACAGTTACCCAGAGAACCCAAGACCCCTTAATTAAGGAATATATCCTTAAATTATAGGGGCCTTAATATTTGGATTTAAGGTATATTCCTCAATTAAGGGGTATTGGGTTCTCTGGGTACCTTTGGGCGCCTGGGCTGAAACGCAAGCGAGTGAAGCTGGCCAAGCCCGCAGGAAGCGCCCTAGCACACGCAGAGCAAGGAAAGAAGACAGCAGAAAAACGAACTCTGCGAAAACTCCTTGTCCGGGCCATCGGCAGCAATGTCTTTCCCCATTGCTCGCACGGATATCTCTACTATGACATTGTCCCGAGGCCCAAGATGTTCTGTCTCAATTGCTATCAGCGCAGTACTGGCCGGCCCTCACCTAATTCTAGGTCTGTCCCCACACGGTGAGATCGAACGACACCGACTGCCTTCCTGCTGTCCTTCCTCCATGTAGGTCTATTGGCAGCCCGTTACGGCTGCTTGCCAAGCAATGTATGCGAGACCAGCTCAGACTGATGCAGACGCTGGGCTGAACCGGGGTCCCTACTTCACCACGGTGAGCCTTAGGACAGCAGAGAAAAGGAGAGGAGAGAAAAGTACAAGTCAGCTGCTGTCCGAGTCGCCGCTCCCCCGATGAGAGTCAACAATAGCCTGGCAGCCATCGGCCGTGCAACATGATGATTGCTGTCCTACAAACCCCACCAGCAAAAAATCTGCAGAATGGTGTCCGGAGAACGCCAACTTTGGGACAGGCAATCCCGACAGCCACGGCGCTGCGGCAGCAACCAGAGCTGCGCGGCCACACCACTCATCCGGTGTGTCTGTCCAGTAGCGGTGGAACACTTCCTGCCGACATCGACTTCGGCAGTCCAAACGAAGCAACATGCTGCAGTAGGGGGTGAGGGCCTTACATGCCTTACATGTCCTGTGTCTCGTGGCTCTTGCTGGTCACGATGCCTTCGGATGAGTCCCGAGCCAGGCGCTCCACATTCACCGCCTCAATGAAGAGTTCCACCTCAATTCTCTTGCCTGGGAAAGTTGGACGCCAGCGCTGGTACACGATGCCTTCCACAGTCACAGAGTCCCCAGGTTGGGCGACTCCAACCATGTCTCCAAAGACTGTCACGGCGCAGGACTGAGGGACAACTCCGACATCAAGGGCTTGCATGTCATCTTGGACACGAATCTCTTGAAAATCAGACATGCAGTCTTCACTCGCCGGAAGAGCTGCAAATAGCTTCGAATGACAGCGCGAAGTTTTGGGGCGCTTTGCTTTGGCATCCCACTTCGTCTTCTTCTGTGCGCCGGGACATTCTTTCGGAATCTCGAAATCATAGCCGCAGGCTGGAGAAGCACGGCAGCCAAAGCTATGGCCACATTGCCTTTTTTCACAACGACAGAGAGACGGGCCTTCAGCAAGAGCACCCGCCCAACAGCATTTAGTGCGTTTACAAGCGTAGTGTAGCAGATTGCACCCGAGTGAGAAAAGCTCTCCCAGTACGTTCTGCAGTGCAAAGGCCCAAGCAAAGGCATCTTCAACCATTTGCAGGGCCGTGCTGTCTTACTCTTTCTTTCGCCAGGGCTGGGGACTAGAGGGCTGTCTTACTCTCTCTCTCTCTCTCTCTCTCTCTCTCTCTGACTCTCTCTCTGTCGCCTGCTTCGCTGGCTTCACATCATGCTGCATTATGACGTAGGGTGCAATGCTATCTGATAGGTATCGTATTGGATATTGGATACCTGATTGCTTTGTAACAATTTGTATCGTAGCACCGTATGACAACGGAATACAGAAGGTTGTAGCCCAGCAGAACGCAAGATAGTGTCACATCTCAAAAAACAGCGCGGAAAGGCGGACAAGCCATCACACAGCAGCGTAGAGTGTCGCATGACGACCATCCAGTGCCATCATTACGAAGCGTCAAATAACATCTTCGAATACCTTTTGAAGCGTGTTGTAGCAGAGTTGTCCGTGTAAAACTACAGGTTCCTCTCAGATCTCTTGTAACTGATAGATTAGGCGTCGTTCGAGAGATGCCATTCTAGGCTGGTCTATTCTATTGTCCTGCATACTGTTGTGACTATCGTACTTGCCATCGCTGCTACCGCACGACAACCACAAGCGCACTGCTGCGCCCGTCTCCCCCCACCCCCGCCGCCCCACCCCCGCCGGTACCTCCACCGCCCGGTTGAATCATTGCCCTTAGGGTAAGTACTTTGCCCGTGCGCATCCGTGAGCGCAGCTGGCGCGCCAGGCTGACGCCCCCCTGCCTCTTCCCTGCCCCACCTCTGTTGTGGTTCTTTTGGCTGCGATTCTTAGAGTTGGGCTCTCTTTGCCTGTTGCACCGCCGGGTGCTCTGTGCTGTTGCCGCCGCGTCCATCTGTAGCCTTCGTGGAGCTTCCCCGTTGACTACCCGACGATGCTAGGTCCGAGGGTGCTTCATCACAATCTCGATCGATCATTGCCCTCACCAGGGTGCTTCATCACAATCTCGTTGTCGTCGTCATCAAAACCGACGTCATCGTTGCCGTCCTCCGTGACCTGGTGAACCTCGCCATCAGCTCCACCAGCATCATCATCATCATCATGAAAATCATCATCATCACCACCATTGCTGTCAGCGTCCTCTTCGCCGTCATCATCGACCATTTGAGTCGCCAACTTCACTGGGTTATACGGCCGAGAAGCTCACAGCGGAAGTTTCGCCATTCTTGGACCACCTGCCCAGAACGACTCTTCATATCCAGCTTTTGCAGTGCCATTGTGCACATTGTTGACAATGTATTGCAATGCTACTGAATAACCGAGTTTCAGTAACAATCCGATCCTTCGAACTAGGCCCTAGGCGCTACGCCGCCACCTTCACAGGACCAGCCCGCGTCACGGTGCCCAGGATTCGCACCAGCTGCCCTTCATCCGCCACCCGCAGTTGGGACACGGATTGCCTGGCAAACTCGCGTCCCGGCCTGGAGCGCCGGTCATGGTCAGTTTCACTTCCGCGCCAGATGCCAGACTAGGCTGTATACTAGTTCCTACTAGGTCATCCCTAAACCCTAAACCCCTAAACCCTAAACCCTCAACCCTAAACCCCTAAACCCTAAACCCATAAACCCTAGAACTTCTTTTGACGAGTGACACATGCACCAGACGCGAGCGGAGTGTTAAGGCCGGGTTTGAGGGATTCTCGGCAGCCAGGGCTTTTCCAGCCTCCGCCAAGGCGCCGTTCAGAGCGCTCACCAAGTTGGCGAACCCCCTCCTGAGAGGGTTTAGGGTTTGGGGCCAAAGTTTGGGGCTTAGGGTTTAGGGCTTTAGGGTTTAGGGACCACCCCACTTCCTGAGAAGACGATAGGATCCAGGAACTTGTTCGAAGAGATCCAAAGCTTCCACGACCAGCTCGGCTTTAGCACACCGCGAAGGCCCCTTCTCATGACGTGCCAGGAGATCGGTGATGTGCTGCGCTGGCTCTCCAGAAGTGAAGAACTGCACGAGCTCTGCGGAGACTTCATCCGAAACATCTGGAGCTAGTGGCTCGACCTGTCTTAGGGGCACAAGCAACCCTTCCTCGCCCATCATCCACGCTTCGGAGTCACTTGTGCTGGGTTTGGGGACCCATGTCTCGCACCCCAGGAAACCATGGCTTCAGCATGTCGCTTCCTCTCAGCGTTTTGAAGCAGAAATTTCAAAGTAGCTGCTGGCGTTTCTCAGGCCGGCTAGTCTTTATAGCTCATTGGCTTGCCGCATGACGAACCTTGGAAAAGCTGTCTGCTGCTGCCGCTCATGTCTTTCAATGGCTGAACAAAGGCGGATAGCAGAAAGGCGGCGGCCAACACAGCTGGCCCCAAGCCCGGGGGGGCGAAGCGCAAAGTCCTGTTAAAACCTAACCCCTAAACCCTAAACCCTAAACCGTTGCAACCCGAAGGCGAAGCCCTTCATGTTGAAGATTGCAAAAGGCAGTGCCTTGACTGTGAGACTCATCGGTCAAAAAGAACCACGAAGACACTGCAGCAGCGCACTTCATCGGCATGCCGTTGTTCTTGGCATATGTCTGCAGCTGAGACCTCAGAAGGGCAAGTGAGAACACGGCACTTCAAGCAAGAAGAAAGGCAACGAAACGGCGCATGCCAGGCCTGCCTGGAATCGATGCATTTTCCCCCTGTCGCTGGAATGCACCCAGATGTGCCTGGCGCTGGCACCGATCCACGACTCCTGAAAAGGGATCCGCTATTTAGGAGCCTCCCCTTTTAAAGGGCGTCAAGGCTTCCGGCGGAGTCTTGAGCTCCAGGATCTACAGCTGTCGGCCAACCGCCGTGTCGCGGTGCCTGTGGAGATCCTAGATGGCAGACAGGCTTCTTTGAAGCCCTCAAAAGCGATATGCTAAAGACCGAATGGCCAGAAAATTCTCCACGTGCTCTAATTGTTAAAGACTCTGTGATTGCTGGCAGCTAGAAAGATACTTTTTCAGAGGGGAAAACTGTAGACTCTGAAGCTCCGACTCAGGCCCTGTGCCAGCAATCAAGCGAGGGCATGTGGAGAAAACAAGCTGACGCACGAAAATCGGCTTGGTGAAGAGCTGACTCTGCTGTCTTCAACTATCTACTTGAGAGGCAGAAGAGCAGCTCTACAAAACTCAACAGCCTTCCGTGGCTGGACAGAGCTCCAAGCGAAGTGGCTATGTAACTGTGACGATGACCCACAAAGGACGGAAGACACCGCACGGCACAAGGCTGTTGAACGCACATGACCAGGTCGGCATGCGATTTTCGTGAACTGGCTCGCGTCAGGGCGCCAACGGACACTGCGCCACGACTTCGTCGTGACGGCTCCCAACATGCCTAGAACATAGAGAGAGCTTTGCCTACAGCATTACCCTGATCAAGCCAAGGATGTTCAAGCGCTTCATCGGCAGAAGGTCGATCTTCAGGCTCCAGGCTCATGAGCTGCTTGCCTAGGCACGAGTCTCAGCAGCTTCAAGCGAGTCAAGCGCGAATGGCAACTGCAGCCTTCCAACTACTGAATCCCGAGGGGCAAAAATCAGCGGCCAATCCGTTCTCCTTGAAATCCTTCTCCCAGTTCAGGTCTGCCTGTCTGAGGACTCACACACTCAGACGATCCGAGCACGAAAGGTGCCTGCCGCAGCTTGTCTGCGATCTCGTGCATCTTCGGAGAACCGACCTTTGAACAGCGGCACTAAGGACATTCGGTGAAGGCTGACGAGGGGGGCAATGCTGAGTCTGCTAAGTCCCTGACATAGTTCTCGCCGGGCTTGTCATCAAAGACCTTGTGCCTTGTCAAGCTTCGACTAGCGCTCGCTCTTACACCCGCAAAAGGGGACAGTGGCCCCTGGCGGCCATGTCGTGATACATACAAGTATCTTAAACTCACGCCGAACGGCTGGAACGGGAATTTCCTGCTGCACAGGATGTACCTGCAAGCGGCAAGCCCCGCGCTTGCAGACGGCACATCGTGGAGACTGGCATTATGTGCGGCATCTAACCGGAGTGAAGCATAAACAGCATTCTGCGACATCTTCTCCTTTCCCACAGTCTACTAGCGCGAGCGCGCAGACAGCACAGAGCTCGATCCTCCACAAAGCAGATCGATGTTGCAAGCCACATAGGTTCGAAACATGGCCCTTTCACTCGTTCGACGCTGACCTGGGAGGTTACCACACAGCCCTCATCCCTGCGGGCACGCGATGACCCCAACCGCGAAGACGTCGGAGGCCTGTGAGTAGGTGCCCTCCTCAGCAAACAAAACTCACGACGAGGAAAAGACTATGCCTAGCTCGACCCCAAACATCCCTAAACCCCGAGCTTTATATCTCTAAACCCCTAGACCCCTAAACAGATCAGCTGAGCAACATAAGCCTCCGGAGCAATGTACTGGTCTGTGCCCACCTAAGCGGAACTTTACCCGCCGTGGCGAAGGTCACAATCAGGAGCGTTGTTGAATCGACTCCCTCATTCAAGATGAGCTTTCCCGATATACCGTGGCCGATATGGAGGTTTCCGCAAATAGGGGACCCTAATATAGTACCCTAAAAAGTAGGATCCTGATTATAAGGACCCCAAAACAAGGTACCCTAATTTTCGGAAACTCCCACATCGGGTCATCCCACACCCTAGTGAACTTCAGTCTGAATTCAGACACGGAGGCCGGCCCAGTCCTCCTTCCTTTCTCTGGGTTCTGCTTAAGGGATTCTGTTTTTAGTTACCATAGTGGGGATCTATAGTAAATAGTATGGTTTCCGTATTTATGGTACCTAAACCCTAAAGCCAAAACCCAAAACTCTAAACCCAAAACCCAAAACCCCAAACTCTAAACCCTAAACCCCAATAACTTAAATCAACTCCCCTCACAAGAACCCTGAACCCCTAAAGCATCCCAAAGTCCTAAACCCCAAACCCTAAACCCCTAAACCTCAGAGCCGAAGGGAGACGTCCTTTGCCCTCGGAGCCGAGGTGCGATGGTCACCTTGCGGCCCGGCCTCGGCTTCGGATTCGCTTCCTTTCTTTGGGAGGGGTTGTTATTGTTTAGGGTTTAGGGTTTTAGGGTTTTAGGGTTTAGGGTTTTAGGGTTTTGGGTTTGGGGTTTAGGGTTTGGGGTTTAGGGTTTAGGGTTTGGGGGATTAAGGGTTTGGGGGGATTGGGGGATTTGGGGTTTAGGACTTTGGGATGCTTTAGGGGTTCAGGGATGAGACTCTTAGGGAGCGCTGTCTCGCCGAGCGACCGTATGCCACTGCCTCCATCTAGCGTCTGGATCGTGTCGAAGTCTATGATTTTGATCTTGGCTGTTATGATGTGGGCCAGATCATAGTATAGTATAGTATACTACTGTATAGTATAGTATAGTATAGTATAGTATAGTATAGTATCGTATAGTATAGTATAGTATAGTATAGTATAGTATATCACTTCAAACGGGCCCCCTCTCAAGTTTTCAGCTCCCGGCAAGGATATCACCTCTTCTCACTCGTGACAGCATCACGTTTTCCAGCTTGATGTCCCTAGCACGGTCATCATTGCCAAGCTGAGTCAGTCCGAATCCGTCAGCTGCGCGCACCTGTGTATGCAAGTCTTGTGCAAATCACGAAGCCCGGAAAGAAGCTGACGGAGGACTTCCTGCGAAGTGCCCACTGGTTTGCATACCATGCCCAGCTTACCCTCGATGGAACATGGACTGCCTGACTGCAGCAGCACCCCGACAACGGTCCTTAATATCGTCCTCAGACAGCATCTCTTTTCCTGTCAGCACCTGACCGTGTTCGGCTGGAGCAGATTCATGCATGGAAAAAGCTTGCGTGTGTAACTCTGGTTCCTGTTGGCTGCTACATAAAGATTACACCACCATTGCTGTGGCGAGAACAACTTCTCCTTCTCTGCCTTCTTGCACTGCAACAGTTAGATGGCTCCGCGAGAAGCCGATTTTTCACTCCACACAAACAAGAAGAGGACTTGTGCATATTGTCATTACGAGTGGCGAGGATCAGCAGTGGAGTCAAGATCAACATGTGCATGCATACCTATACGAACACGCAAACCAATATCAATGCATGCATGCGGGCAAAGTTCAACGATCCCGCACTGTAAACTGTAGCTTTCGGTACCCTTCATTGCTATGCCAAGCCCTAACCTCCGAAACCCCCAAGCACACAAACCCGAAAACCTAGTAAGTATGTATATTTACTTATTTATTACTTGCGTTGTATTTGATACGTGTAGTTTTAATTCATGATATATATATATATATATATTTATTTATTTATTTATTTATGTATTTATTTATATTTATTTATTTAT